ATTGTATTTGAAGCTGATGGGTGAGCAAGCTGTAATAAAATCATAATGCGGTTTTCAAATTTAATCAGACGTTAGACCATGTGGATTGCTTGAATAGCGTTTTTACAGGAAATTTTCTAGCTGCACTAAGACACAGTCTCGCTTGGGCAGTGGAACTAAACAGACTACTTTTTTTTTGAAAAGGGGCGAATCTCTTTGAAGCGTGCACAGGCGAGGTAGGAGGAAGAAAGCAAAAAGGTCATTCCGCCCATGGCGTAAATTCTGAGTGCTGCGTTCGATGAAGTTTACGGCAAAATTGCATAATTGTACCCTCATAAGCACGAGTAGACCCTGTCTTCAATAGTTCCAGAATATGATGCATTTGCCATCACCGTCGAGCTCAAGGAGGCCTACAGTACTCCCTCCGGCCTGAAGCTACTACATAATTTCTTCAGTCGGCTATCTGATGGATAGGTACCCAGCTCAGGGTGAATATCGGTCGAGGATTCCTCAACGGCACGTCGAGGATTTTCGACTGATCAGTTACCTTCTCGTACGCCGCGACATTCAGCACCGTTCGCCATACTGCGATCCCAATTTTCCCAGTAGCTGCACTGAAGTGTACGCTTCAATCTAAAAAGTTACATAACAGCCTTCCACACCGACGACAAATCGAAGTGAACGATATCCTCCACAGATCACAGTCCATTACAAGGTTAGCTGAAAAGCCGGTCGAAAGGGGTCCTGCATACTCAGAACTACTGACTCTGGGCACCAGGGTGAATATTGGTCGAGGAAGTCCTTGGTCATGGCTACTGTGGGAGAGTAGTGCCGAGAGTGAACGTACGCGCGGAGAGCACAGACGGCTCGCGCATGGCGAGTGTGAATGTCCGCGCGGAGAACGTAACTGATCAGGCGAAAATCCTCGACGTGCCGTTGAGGAATCCTCGACCGATATTCACCCTGCTGGGCACCTATCCATCAGATAGCCGACTGAAGAAATTATGTAGTAGCTTCAGGCCGGAGGGAGTACTGTAGGCCTCCTTGAGCTCGACGGTGATGGCAAATGCGTCATATTCTGGAACTATTGAAGACAGGGTCTACTCGTGCTTATGAGGGTACAATTATGCAATATTTTGCCGTAAACTTCATCGAACGCAGCACTCAGAATTTACGCCATGGGCGGAATGACCTTTTGCTTTCTCCCTCCTACCTCGCCTGTGCACGCCTC